CACAGAGATGATGCAGGGCCTGGAGCATCTGTCCTATGAGGAAAGGCTGGGTGACCTGGAGCTGTTCAGCATGGGGAGAAGAAGACTGGAACGGGCTGCCCAGAGAGGTGATGGCTGTATCTTCAGCAGAGATGCTCGAGACCCATCTGGATGCCAGCCTGTTGTAGGGAACTGCTTTAGGGGAGGGCTGGACTCGCTGATCTCTGGAGGTCCCTTCCAACCCCTGCAGTTCTGTGACTCTGTTTCCATCCCCAGAATTCCCTGAGTGGGGACCTCCATCCTCCCCCCATGTCGTGCTGTGGGCTGTTGGCTTTGCTCTTCAAGTTAAAGGCTGGCATCTATTAAAACGTTAGATAATTGCATTCTGTCTCCTGACCTTGAATGACTCTGCAAGGAAAATATTTGCCTTGGTGCAAGCTGAACGTACCCTGTAATGGGTGGTGGCATTGACATGCATGTTATGAGTGCTGCACTGAAAACAAGTAGTTAATAAATAGTGACCTGGGTAGGTACAGAGCAGAGGGGTGACCAGATATTAAACGTTACTAAGCATGTTATGATAATGAGCATCCGAAAGCACCAGAAAGGTGAGGATTTGCAGCAGCATTTGTGTAACAACAGAGCAGTGGCAGGTCAGGCCCTCAAAGGGCTTTGCTAGTACAGATCTTGGTGCTTTTGATCAATGTTATTAAGATGCTGAGATGATTGCTCCATGGATAGCTTGGAACTCTTTGTTAAGCAGGAAATAAAATGGAAGCTCGTTATAATTTTCATATTAAACCAAGAGTCTGAGCTGGTCAGATGGCACAATGCAAATGCAATCCTTTTTTTTTTAAGGTGCAAGAGGTGAACAGAACCATCCCATTTAAACATGGCCCGTTCTCTGATCCTTGTCATGGTTCTGTTGGAATCCTGATGCCTTCCCACATGATTTGCAGGGATGATTGTGAGGGAGCTGCTGCCAGCTGAGAGTGTGGCAAAGAGAACAGCAGCATAATGCCACTGCAGATCAGCCAGGTGGGATCTGAATATGGACCGAGATGCTGTGTTGGTTGTATGGTCACCTGTGCAATTCTTGATCTATCAATGCTATGTGCTCCTGTGTAGCAAATGCAGTAATTATGTGTAATTGCTTTCAATTAGAGAGTCAGAAGTTGGGAAGACAGTGTTTATCAGGATGGAAACGAGCTTGTTTTCTGGGTGGGTCCCAATGCAGTTGGGTCATCCCTGCATTGCTATAGTTTGAGGATCGTTGTTGTTTCCCTGATCTTTGGTTTGTTGGATGATCCCCATCATTAAAAAACAAAAAAAGCACATGGAATCATAGAAACATTAAAAAAAAAGTCTTGTGAGTTAGAACTTGAATTGAGGCTGTTTCCTGTCGGTGTGTGCTTTGTTTCCAACACGTTTGTATATGCAGAGCAGTGCTTGAGTTGAGAATGCCCTCTGAGCTCCCTTGGTTTCCAGGCCAGCTGATGGCCGAACAGGAAGAGTAACCTGGTGTGAAGGTGGAAATCCCCATTCACAGAGCATTCCTTTCCAGCAGAGCAGGTCAGGCAGCATTGCTCAGATCCGTGGTGTTCCAGGTTCTTGCTGGGTTAGAATTCTGCATTAATGCTCTGCTGATAGAAGTGTGAGTTGGTAATTTCTCTGGGTTCATGTGACCAACAGCGTGTTTGTTGTAGAGGCTTCAAATTCAGTTAGCTTTGTGCCATTGCTGTCAGATGTTACCTGCTCCGGTGCAGTGTCTGCATAGATGATGGAGAAAGCTTTGCTCTGTTTGCTCTGGGAGGAACTGAAAGTCAGCCTTGCATTTCATCCCATTGAGGGTTTGCTCAGTCACGATGTTAAACACTTTAAATTATACAGTTGATGGTGTTTATCTCAATGCAGCAAACTTCTTAAGCCAGCAGGGACAGGGAGGTGATCATCCCCCTCTGCTCAGCTCTTGTGAGGCCCCATCTGCAGCACTGCATCCAGGCCTGGAGCCCCCAGCACAGCAAGGATGTGGAGCTCTTGAAGCGGGTCCAGAGGAGGGCACTGAGATGATCAGAGGGCTGGAGCAGCTCTGCTATGAGGAAAGATTGGGGGAACTGGGCTTGTTCAGCTTGGAGAAGAGAAATCTCCAGGGAGACCTCATTGTGGCCTTCCAGTGCTTGAAGGGAGAGTATAAACAGGAGGGGAACGGCTGTTTATGAGGGTGGATGGTGATAGGACAAGGGTAATGGTTTTAAAGTGAGACAGGGGTGGTTTAGGTTGGATATGAGGAGGAAGTTTTTGAGCTAGAGGGTGATGAGGCACTGGCACAGGTTGCCCAAGGAGGCTGTGGATGCCCCATCCCTGCATGCATTCAAGGCCAGGCTGGATGTGGCTCTGGGCAGCCTGGGCTGCTGGTTGGTGACCTGCACACAGCAGGGGGTTGGAGCCAGATGAGCACTGTGCTCCTTTTCAACCCAGGTCATTCTGTATTCTGTGATTACTGTTGTTCTGCTGAAATCAAACCTCCTGCTCTCATGCAGTCTCTTGCTATGGCACTGCTTGATCGACTCTGGGAGGCAGAAAGGCATTTTGTTCTCTCTGACCCTCAAGTCCTTTTCACGTCACAGATTTCAGTTTGGCAGGAGGATGTTGCAGCTGGAATCAGTGTCACTGTGTCCCAATGGACATGTTGCTCTTTGGGGTGCTGGGCAGCTGGGTTGGAGCAGCCACTGTGCCTGATGCTATCAGCCACCACCAGTCCTGGTGCTGTTGCGATTGCTTTAAGCTGTCCTCGCAGCTGCTCCTGCGATCCTTCAGTTCAGTAGGAGCCCTTCTGTTGGGTTCACGTAGGTTTTGCTTTGTGCATTCATTCCCTGCTGTGTTGGGGTATACATGGAAACTGGGATGACCTGTGACCACATACATATGTACGCGTGTTCAGGTTGGACATTAGGAAGAAATTCTAAGAGCAGTCAGGTGCTGGCATGAGCTGCCCAGGGAGGTGGAGGGTCTCCTATTTAATGTCTGTGTCAGTGATCGTGATGAGGGGATTGAGTGCACCCTCAGTAAGTTCACAGACTTATTTCCTTCAAGTGGGGAGGCAGTGCTGATCTGCCTGAGGGGAGAAAGGCACTGCAGAGGGACCTGGGTAGACCGGGTTGATGGGCCGAGGCAAACTGTATGAGTTTCAATAGGGCCAAGTGTTGTGTTTTGGTCACAACAACCCCAGGCAACCCTACAGCTTGGGGAGGAGTTCCCTGATGGAAAGGGACCTTGGTGTGCTGCTGGCTGAATGTGAGGCCGATGGCATCCTGGCTTGGATCAGGGATGGTGAGCAGGACTGTAGGAGTCATCCTGCCCTGTACTTGGCACTGGTGAGGCCTCACCTGGAGTTCTGTGTTCAGTTTTGGGCAGCTCAGAACAGCAAGGAATGGAGGTGCTGGAGCAGGTTGGAAGAAGGGCAACAAGGCTGTGAAGGGCTTGGAGACTATGGCCTATGAGGAGAGATTGAAGCAACTGGGGCTGTTTGGCCTGGGGAAGAGGAGGCTGAGGGGAGAACTGTCTGAAAGGTGACTGCAGTGAGATTGGGTTGGTCTCTTCTCACTGGTGACGGGATGAGGGGAAATGGCCTCAAGTTGCACCAGGGGAAGGTTTAGGTTGGTTATCAGGAAAAAAACTTCTTACAGAAAGGGTTGTGAAGCACTGGAATGGGCTGCCCAGGGGGGTGGTGGAGTCAGCATCCCCGGATGTGTTCACAAAGCACCTGGATGTGCTGCTCAGGGCCGTGGGTTAGCAGAGGGTTGTGAGTTGGGGGAGTATGGAGAGGTTGCAGTTGGACTTGAGGGTCTTTTCCAACCTGAGCAGTTCTGTGATTCTACACTAAGAAGGGCTGTGTGCTGAGGAATGATTTGAGACTGGGTGCTGGAATGTGAGGTGAAGCTGATCCCTACTGGTTGCCTTTGAACCTCATGCAGTCATTGCGTGCAGGTGTAACCACTTGGGCCTGCAGGTCGCCTGCTTTGTACTGCAGGTACTGAATCATCTCAAGCCAATGTGCTGAGGCCCAGTGCTTCTACCTCTCAGCTTGTTGGCTCCTTGGCTTTGCAGCATCAATAACAGCTGTGTGTGTTTCAATAGCATTTCCTCATCTTCGTAAGTTTGGTGGGCACATCGCATCCTTACAGTTAGAATAGTTGTAACACTGATTCTGTAACAGTTTGTATGTTGCTGTCTGGATATATTTGTTGAGATACAGCGCTCCCATGCAGTGGGATTTATGAATATGATTACAGGGTTAAAGGCATTAAAAGATTCAAAGCACTTTAACGACACTCAGTTTTCATTGACAGCCCTTTCAATGCTGCTGCATTCACATGAAGATTTCTAATGCAGTAATAGGAGCAGTGAAAGCTCAGCGTGTGGATAGGATGGGACATTCTGGATTGCTTTGCACGCTCCATCTCACTGCCCAGCTGCTTTCTGCTCTTTGGTTTATGGAGCATCACATAAAGGGAGAGTCATTGAGATAGGCACTGCCAGCAGAGGGGCATGCATGGCACTGCTGCAGTGGTGCTCTGATCTTTCTCAGTGAGCAAAATACGTGTAGCACAGCTCCTTGCAGCTGAGCTTTGTATGCGTGTGAAGGTGGAGCATAGGGCCAAGAGCCCAATTCTCCATTGGAGGCACTTGTGTCCATCTGAGGCTGTAGCTGCTTAGGGTGCTGGTGGAGAAATGCTGGAAGCAACAGGCTGCCTTCTGGCATTCCATTATGGACTGTGCATTGAGGGAAAACACGGTCTGCTTTTCTGCTCTGCTCACTTGAAAGGTGCTGAGGGGGGAGAGTCAGGTGAGCAGAATGCCTGCAGGCTCACAGAGATGGAGATGCGTGAACACGGGCTGTGATTGTGGTGGTGCTGCTCTGAGAGCTGTGGGTTCATTGTAGGCTGAGATCCTTCACTTTGATGCACACAGTACTGTGTTGAGAAGATGCTGCTAAGTTCTGTTTGTTTCTTTTCTTTCAGGACTTGTGGTGCATGGAGGAAGACGCGCTTTCCTAGAGATTTAATTTATCTAGACATACCAAGGTAAGAGAATTTTTTACCTACCACGTTGTTTGTTTTTTTTTCCTGTAATTTAATTGCTCAAATAGAATGAAAACCCTCCTCAGTTCTCTCATCTCTACACTCAAGTCTAATCACCTGTAATGGTGACGAGGTGGGCTTTGCAATGTGGAGCAGTTTCTTGAATGGCAGCAGGATTTCTGGCTGCTCCACGCCGTGACTCTGAGCTGCAGTGCTGATGGTTCAGGTGGGGACCCCCTCTGTCCTTCCTGGTGCTGGAGAAGACCAGCAGAGAGGGTACGAAGATGATGCAGGGCCTGGAGCATCTCCCTGTACAGCACTCAGTGCAGTGTGTGGCACTCAGCTCCTCCTGCAGCATCACAGCAGTGCTGCTCTGCCCGCCCTCCTGGCACGCCATCTCTATAAACCTTCTCTTGGATTTCAGGGCAATCGAAAATCAGAGCATAGGTTAAACATGGAATGATTGGAGGAGTGCAGGTTTCACCCTTGCAGCTGTTGGGATGAGTGTGGACCAGATTTCTGTACTCAGTGATGTTACACTTGGGGGTCAATGTATGAAGGACCAACCCTGTTTGTGTTGTGTGTTTTCCTTGTAGCTTTCAGTTCTTTCATCCTGTAATAATGAGCTTTATAGTCTCTCTCTCCTTTCTTTTTTGAGGGAGGGCCTCGATATCTGCTCCTCCTCGAAGTCTGAACGCTCTTAGCATGGCAAACTATTAACTAATTGGTGAAAGGTTCCTTTTTGTTCATAAAAGCATTAATTTAGCATTAACATGTTGTTAAATCTTGAGGGCTAATATTCATAGAGACAGTTTTGGTGTGTTAATGTACACTTAGTATACACACATTAATTTCTCAGGCAGTGAGTTCAGCTTTCTGCGTGCTTTGTGGCCACGAAGGCTTGCTTTGCAAAGCTTTGTCTCACCTTTCATGAGCAGTGCAAGCAGAAGTGAAGCAGCAGGAGGAAATGCCTGTTGCACTGAAGCACACTTTGTTACAGAGTGTTTGAGCTGCATCTGCGCTGTGATGGGGTGCAGCAAAGGATGCACTCATCTTCTGAGTTCTGGCAATGGCCTCTCGTTGGTCTTCTGACACTGTTTGCAAACTTAAAATATGTCTTTTGCTTCCCCCCCCCCATCTGTATGAATACAGTGCATACATTTTTTTTTTCTAGATAGCATTCATCAACTTTTGCTGGATATTATTAAGGTTTCGGGAATAAATTCCGCCACTGCTGTGGTGTGAGCTGCTGGGATGCCAGATCTGCCACAGAGGTGTCCTTGTTCACTTAGCTGGGGCAAACAGAATTCACTTTAATTTGGAAATCCAGTGTCTTCTGGGCAGTATCTGTCCCTCACATCTCAGGAAAGAAGTGAAAATTAATTCTGTAGGCCCTGATAATGTGCAGCCCCCCGAAACGCTTGAGTGATCAGATGTCATCCAGTGAGGGCTGGGATGCTGCAGCGCTGTCTGTAGGGCACGGTATGGAGCTGTGGCAGGGATGTGGGCTGAGCCTGCTGCTGAGGGCCTTCCTTACCACCTGTGGGGGCCTCTGGGGTTCCTCTGAGGCCTCAGGGTGAGCTCTGAATGCATGGACCTGGTCCCTAAGGCGCCAGGATGGGCAGCTGAGGGTCTGAAAGCAAAGCAACCACTCGTCCTGCACCAGATGCTTCTTCAGAGTGAGTTTATGAAGCCTCCACAGAAGCACTGGGCAGAGGGTTCAGTAATTCCATCATGTCAAGGCTAAAGGTGAACACTGTTAGCAAACCTTCCTCCTCACCTTTGGCATTGTTCAGCCTCAGTCCAGTTGGCTCCATCAACGTAATTAGATTAATTATGTTGTTCCTCATCTCTGCTGCCGCAGCTCCACCAGCTTCTGTTCTCAGCTGGAGCAGACCTGGGTGCATCCCGGCTCCTCCTGCAGCTCTCCCTCCTCTGAAGGAGCTTCCAGGCTCTGCTCTGCCTGCTGCCTTTCGCTCTGCCCACCCTCATAAGGCTTCTGCATGAAAATATTCTCTGACCATAAGAAAAAAGCAAGCAGTAAGCACAGCAGCTTGGTCTCAGAGCAGAGCTGCTGCTGCTTGCTCGATGCATTCACCCCTTTCACATCCTCCTTTATAGCACCTATGGTGCTTTTAGCATCGGATCCACAGTCATTTCAGAGCTGAGCAGTTATTCAGACAGCAGCAGGAGCTGTTTGCTGCCTTCTTCTTGCCTTGCTCAAAGCCTCAATAAATAAATTTGGGCTGGTGGGGTGTTGGAAGGGCTGTAATGTTATCACCTTCCAAAATAAATACTGCTGTGTGTTCAGCTGTCTGCTCTACATTCAATGCCTCCTTCTTGTTTTCCTCTTCTGCTGTTGCATGGAGAGCCTTAGGTGAAAAAGTTCTTTATTGGAGCAGCTGATGGGTAGAAAAGAAATGCTGCTGCTGTGTCGCAGCTAATAACATTCAGACACATGTACCCCAAAATCTGCCTTAAAAAAGTGTTGGTGTGGTTGTGTGAAAGGAGCATGCGTTGGCTTTTAACCATTCACAGAAAGCTCTTTGAATGGCATATTCCACTGTGAAGATGCCTCACGACATTGAGTGACTGTGCAGTAACTCTGGATGGCGTTTACTGAGCATCCTCCAAGAAGAATCTTACCTTGTTAAAGACAAAACGTTGTGATATAGACGAATGTGTTACCTTTGAAGTGTGGAACGCTGTGCGTACAGCAGAGCAAAGTGCTGCCACGTTGCGTGTCCCAATCAAAGGCTCCTTGCTGTTGTTCTGCTCCAGCCTGGAGCTGCCACTGCAGTTTTGATGGCTTACCTGCCTTTGCAAAGTGGAATGAGCTGTCAGTGCTGTGAGCCCAGCAGCTCGTCCTGCCATCTCCAATGGCACAGAGGCAGCACGCTCAGCTGCAGGGAGGTCTGCAGTTCTGTGCCTCAGTTCAGTCTGAGCTTGGGCTGCCCCTTCATGACAACATACCCAGCTCTCAGAGCAGTCTGACGGTCGCCCATCACTCACTGGTAGTGCTTTCTTACAGCTTTCCCCCATGTTTTCCCATTGACCAAAACTCAAGTGCTGATCTGTTGCCCGTGTTCTCTCTCCTTATGCAGGCTGTGGGATCCGCGCGGCGGGACGGCATCGCCATGTTTCGGAACAGCCTCAAGATGCTCCTTACAGGAGGGAAATCGAACCGCAAAAACAGGTCCAGTGGTAAGTGAGCTCCTCACGTGTGTCCTGCTGGCAGTGCTCCTTTCGTGCTGTGTGAGCTTCTTTCACTGGGCCCTTGGATCTCGTTAATGAAGGGATGCATCGGTTGGTGATGCGGTGAACTCAACACATCGGCGCGGGTCGTCGTGGTGCCACGTTGTGATGTGCTGCTATAAAACACTGCAAGCAAACCACGTCCACTTTCATTGCAGAGATAAGGTGCAGAGAAAGATCCCAGTTATACATCAGCAACACTTGTGGCAGCGTTAGCAGTTCTCTGTTCTGAGAAACAAAGATGAGGGGAGTGGAGAAATGGAAAAAGATGGAATTAAGGAAAGAGTATCCAGCTTTGGTCAGTGCTTCTGCCCATCTCCTTGCTGCAGCATCCCAGGAGCACTGCTTGCTCCTTGTCCTGCTCCATCCAGGTGGGAGCTTAGCTGAGGTTGTAGTCGTGGAGCAAAGCATTGCAAGAAATACCATTGTGCTTCATAAGTATTCTTGTTGAGCTTTCGTAGTTCCTTCCAAAAATGGATTGCTGGCAGCGTAAGAGCTTTGAATTAGTTCTTCTATTCTCCTTTGTGAAGCCATCTGGCAGCACACTTGGAGTATTTTGGGATGGATTGTTGGTTCGTGCTTGTGTCTGTGTAAATAGCATAGCTGTGTATTCTGTGGGAAACCACAAGAGAACATGCAGAGATGCAGTGGTGATAAACGCAATGGGAAAAACAAACCAAACAATCCTCTCCTTTCCCTTGGCTGAAATGATTTAATATATGCTTCTGATGAATACTGGTTCTGATATATACATCTGATTTCCCCTGGTTTTAATATCTTCTTAGCCAGGTTTGATTTGGGAAGGAGAATTGTGGCATCCAGGTCACTTTGGGCTGCAGACATTTGTTGGGAGCAGCTTTAGCAGTGCGTGGTGCTGCTCACTCCCTTGCTCTCCTGGTTGCACTCGGTGTGTATCTCTTACAATGGGAAAAGCTCTGTTTGCAAATAGCCCCGATGTAACCACAGCCCACAGGAACACTTTGTTGTTCCCTGCTTTTCTGAGGCAGGTTCTGTGTCCTTGGGTTTGCTTCCGTTCCGGCTCTGGTTGCAAGGTGCCCAACCAGGGGGCTGTGTGGGCTTTGGAGGTCACACTGCCCCATGGCCCTGGTGATTTGTAGTTATTTTCTTGTTCTTGTTCCTTGTGAGCAGAGCAGAGAGAAAAACACGTTCCTGGAAAGCACTATGGTGGGGTTTTCCAACAGGTGGGCCTTTCTGTAATGCCCTGTGTCACACAAACCTTGCTGTGCTTCTGCCTTTGGAATACGTTACTTTACTGAGAAATGCTCTTCAGCTTTCCTTTGGGGAGGAGAGGGAATTAAGAAAAGGCAAACATGATGTTTCCGAGGATGAGTGGTAGCTTATCAAAGCACAGCATCGTGGGATGGTGTGTGCAGAGCCCTGTGTGCCATGCAGTGCTGTAAGCATGGGGCAACAGGAGCTGCACCCATCACTGGGAGCTCAGAGCAGGCTCTGCATCCTGCGTCACCACTTAGGGACTCAGCTCTGCTCATTGGGTCTCTCATCCCATAGGAAGGTTGGAAATGGGGTGGGCAAGGGGGGCAGCTCCCTGCTTTGTTGTGTGGGGACGGATGGAGCTGCAGTGTGCGCGTCTGTTTCACCTGCTCTGTTCCTTTGGCATCACAGAAGCCTTTGAAGCGAAATGAAAGGTGACTGTGGTGATGTTTTTTTCTCTTGTGGAACCCAGGGAACGCAGTGCCTTTGCAGCTCCTCCTCCAGGCAGCTGCTTTACTTTGCAGTGATGCAGCCAGAGTTGCTGAGGCCAGGCTGGCAGCCCTGTGCATTGTGCCGTGGTCGTGATGCTGGATGATTAGAAGTATAGCAGTGATGGTAACAGTGAAATGCCCCCATAGCATTCCTCCTCTATAAACTGCTCCTCTGTAGAGCTGTGCTTGAGGCTTATTTCAACTCCTCTGTGTTTTCTTCTTTGCTGCTCTTTGTGGTATTGTGGCTCAGGAGTGCACAAAGTATTCATAGAAGGGAAGTGTCAGTGTCATCTGTGTGAATGCATGTGGTGTGCAGTGATACCTGTGAAAAGCAATGAACTTCTGCTGCAGCACACGTCCCATGGTTCATTTTGTGTGCATGCTTTGTAGCTGCACAAAGCAGTGCTGTGCACGACCACCTGTGCATGCATTTGTGCACGTGTTCTACAGGTGCAGTTCTTTCTTCCCTCCCTTTTCATCGAAACAGTTTGTATCCAAATATTCGTTCTTTTCTTCTCCCAGTGCAAAATGAATGAGAAAATGTAAGGAGGGAATCTTCAGACCCTGCTGCATTTTTCAGCTCCGCACCTGGCAGGGAGGTGTGATGTGTTTGGTCTCCACTGATGGCATTTGTGTGACACAGATGAGAGTGGAGGACGAGCACTGCATGGGGCCTTTCCATTGCAGCTGCTGGGAGCTGCATTCCCTCTGGGCAATTCCCACCTGTGTTTTTCTTTCCTCTGGTCATCCCCACGTGCTTTTGCAGACATGTTCCTGCGTGCTGCTTTTATCTGAGCTTTATCTCTGGGTTGATCTGCAGGTTGGTCAGCCTGCTCTCCAGCTCTGCCCTGCCCTCCTGCAGCCCTTCATCACTGCAGGGTTGGCTGTGAGCTGGATTCAATGGTGTCCCTCTGAGCCACGCTCAGAGCTGCAGGGCCAATTAGCTGCCTTCATTGCATTCTTTTTGCCAGGACAGCCCCCAGTGGAGAGCACTGAGTGCACTCAGCAGAGCTCACAGCCTTTGCTGCATGCATGCACAAGCTTTGGTTTCAGGCAGGAATGAGCAAGACGGGGCCAGGGGGGGCTGGGGGCTGAGCCTGGCTCTGGAGCTGCTGTTCCTTACTGAGATAGGACAGAAAGAGGCTGGGCAGTGCTGGGATGCTCTGCTTTCCCTCCCACACAGTGCTCACTGCTGCTGCATTCATCAGTGCTCACAAAGGAGCTGGGTGTTGTGCAAAGTTTTGGAAATACTTTTGAATTCCTTTCTAGATCCTTTTTTTTTTAAATACCAATAAGGTATTTTTACAGAGCAAACTGTTCTGTTGTGTTTTGCCTTCTGAGCACTGCTGAGTGCTGTGCTGTGCTGGAGCCTTTAAAGCACAGGAATGACCCCTTCATGCTGGTCTGCGTTGCAGGGAAGCTGCAACGTGGCCGTTCTGCATTGGAGCACCCCGTCCATCCCCAGGGCCGGATGGGAAAGGCTGGAGGAGTGCACACCAGTGGTGTCATGGGTGTGGGGGAGGCAGAGTGAGGGTGGTGGGAGCTGTGCCTGTGGTGCAGTGCTCAGAGAGGGGTGTGGGGTTGGGGTGCTGGCCCTCCTCCTCTCCTCCCAGCAGGGCTTTACATGCTGTGTGCGCCCAATAAAAGTGCACTGCTAGGAGGAGACCGACAGAGAGCAGTGCTGAATTTAGGAAGGAGAGGAGATGCTCCGTGCTCCAGGTGTTGTCTCTTTAATGATTGGAGTGCGAAAAGCAGGCAGAAACCTTCCCTGCAGGCTGTGCTGTGGGTTTCCATCTGTGGAACAGGGATGGGACCTCAGCCCTCTGCATCCATCTGTGTGGCACAGCAGCAGTTGGGTTGCAGAATGGCTGCGTTGCATGCAGTGCGTGTACATGTGTGGGGCTTCACAACAAAGTGTGACATTCTGCAAAGCAGCTTGGGTGTCTGCTCTGAAATTAAGAGGTCCTGTGGGCCTGGGGGAGGAAATAGAGCATGATGGGCAAAATAACAGGTGTATGCTGTGCGGTTTTGGCTGTAGGCAGGATTTTGTGGGGATAGCATGGAATTCTGGCTATAGCCAGGAGGGTGGTGAGGCACTGGCACAGGTTGCCCAAGGAGGCTGTGGATGCCCCATCCCTGCAGGCATTCAAGGCCAGGCTGGATGTGGCTCTGGGCAGCCTGGGCTGCTGGTTGGTGACCTGCACACAGCAGGGGGTTGGAACCAGATGAGCACTGTGCTCCTTTTTCAACCCAGGTCATTCTGTGATTCTGTGATGGTACAGCTGATGTTTGGCTTTCTGTGCTGGAGCAAGCCTGGTCCCAGCCCTCGTGTCACAACAGACTTTGTTCCCTGTGCTCCAGTCTCACTTCTAAGTTAAAGAGTCAATCCAATCCATACAAATGCAGGTACTGTGTGATAGCAGCAAACCAGAAATGATGCATTTCATCTTTCCAGGAATGTACTGAATATTAAATGCTCGTAAATAAATGGGTGTAAAATCATTGTGCAGATGTTGAACATCTCTGTCCTGTTGTGTTCCTCCACTGAACGCACATCTGTTCCTGTGCAGTCATTGCTTGGAGTGGTGTAAATAAGCAGACACCTCTGTGTGTCATAGGAGCAATGAAAAGTACAACAGAGGAAGGTTGGTGCCAAATACCAGCACTGCATTCCTGTTCTTCTTCAGTGCTGGAACTGTAATTTCTGCTTGCATTGAAGCAGTCTGCAAGGATTTCAGATTAATAGATGTCAGTCGTGGAAAGCCTCGGGTCATTTCCTTCACTAATTAGCTGCTGAATTTTCACATCCCGTGGTTCAGCAGTAAGATTCCCCAGGTGATAAAGGCACTGATGGACAAACTGGGTGCCACTTTTCTCGCCCTGTGCTGTGCCCCATTGGGGAGCAACAGGGCAGCTGAGCCCAGTTCCCCTCTCTGCAGGGTTGTGTTCTTTCCCAATGCCTTTGCACAGCTTTTGGTGCTCGCTTCATCTTTCTGGAGTTCCCCAGGGATCTGTGAACGGTTTTTGCTTTAACATCAGAGTAGGTTCAGCATGAGAACTGTGTTTTAACAGCAGTGTATCACACTTTATGCAGTCATAGAATGCGTTGGGTTGGAAGGGAGCTCAGGGATGACCAAGTTCCAGCCCCACTGCTGCAGGCAGGGCTGCCAAGTGGCACATTGAGCACTGCATCACATTGCACAGGGCCCCATCCATCCAAGTGGC